AACGATCTCGCTTTTAGTCTCTTCTGTTTGTTTCTATCTTCTAATTACTCGTCACAACTGTAATTTCATTATCAAATGTCTCATCTACGTCTTCCTACCTATCCGACAGTATATCCTATCCATCACCAACTCCAACTATATCCTCAACATGTTTTTGACATTCAGACTAACCGAAAATAGTTTTACTTCTGTCGTATTTAAGTCGTCTCACACCTTGATCATCAAATTAGTAACTGCGTTCAGGATATTTACTAGCAAAACATGTTTTGCGACAAGTGTAGCCATAAAATCTGTAATATTTAGAGGAGTATATTCTGGTTGAGAGTAAGGAGCAAGTATGGCCGCCGGAAACGGACAAACGGGACAGGAACGCGTTGTTCGCTATATATAGAACTGAGTTACTATGTAGCGAACGTACCGATAACTGTGGCTTTTTGAGGGTTGGTTTTGGGTCATGTGGATTGATTTTTTATTTAAATGTCTACTAATATTGTACAATTCCTTGTTGGTCTAGTTAAACTCGATTTATTTTTGCTTGACCCATAGATTGAACTCAAGTCGCTATCAGTAGTTAAAATCTATGAATGGATTTATGCTCAACAATATTAGAAATGAATTCCTAACGAAGATCAATAAGATCATGTTTTAGAACAACTATCATTAAATCGTAATAGAGAATGTAGACACAGAAGTATAAGAACGGAAGCCTGACATCTGTACATGGGCAGTTATGTTGGCCAGACCATTTGATACGAGCCCAGACCACAACGGAAATCGCCAAGCCATTGACTTTTTCTAGAGCCCAGTGAAAGGCATCTTGATGTTCAGCCTCATCAAGTAACATACACTTTAAAAGGGCTAAAAAGTGGTTAAACGGTCAATTTAAGATATTGGATGTCGTTAAAAGGTAGCCATTTTCTAGAATGAATTAGTTTGCCTCTTATAGGTAAATATCTGAGAACTTACATGAGTATGCGCAGGCTACAGTATTTTTACTTTTTAAGCTTGCTTTCTATATTAAGCTGTATGTTATTTTTATCCCAAATATTTGACCAACAAACCAAAAAAATCCGGACAATACTCAACAAATAAATGCAACAACGAAATTATTAAAGGAAAACATGTCCAAAAGGCAAGCAGGCGTAAAAAATCTCGCATCAAATCCAATTCACGGACAGGCACTGTAATCGAAAAGAAATCGAAATGTCGAACGAAAATTGTTCGTACAATATGTATTGTAATGGCATCACGTACCATAATCGAAGCTATTATGACATACGAGAATTGCACCTAAGTATAATCCAATATTTATACCCAGCGTGATTGTAAGGCGTTGGGAATCTCTACAAATCATTCTTGCGTCCCTCTCTAGCTCATTGCCTCATCTGTCACCAGGAAAAGGACAGCGCATCCAGTATTTTCGTCTGTTCGTAGGTGTTCGGTCATGTTTGCACACCCTCGCCTCAGCCGACAGGTAAATTCGACAAAAGCAGTGGGTGTTTGTGTTTATTATAAGGAATACCTGAATGCAGGTAGAAATCATTGTACGGGTCCCTTCTAGCGAATAATAGAGTTTTCGGAAATAATACAATGAATAAAATAATTTATGTCGGCTCGGAATACAATATTTTACGATTTTCGGAAACGTTCGGTACTAGTGGTGTGGTACCTGTATGGCTTTTTTGTAGGCGCCTTCACAATTGGTGTTTTGGATGGGGTTTCGTCTCGGTTCTCAAGTTGTTTTTGTTTGTTTTACGGGCAATTTGCGATTATGGAGACATGTCTATCCGAAGATCTTGACATTATCTCGCATTATTCGTGGCACGGCACCCGGTACAGTTAATTGAGTGGTTGACTCATTACGACCCGCCGATGTTTATCTACGCATCGAATTGTACAATAATGAGTTCATTTACCGCCGTCAACTTATGAATATTTAACAATCTTACAATTTCGTAGGTGTAAAAAACAGTCGTGCTTTACGATCTTACTTAATAGCGTGAAGCGGACCTTATCGTGAGTGATATGAACGATCGTTAAGGGAAGCGTGCGCTTGCGCTTATAACATTTAATCGTTCCATTAAATCATTAATAAAGGTACACATATAAAGTTGCACAATACACACCGTAATACCAATAAAATAGAATATATTGGGAGGTGTGAAATCGTGTAAAAGCGCAAATAGCACAGAATGTATCGTTAAAACCAAACATAACTTTAAGCATTTCATTGAACCATTATAAACTTTGATACGAACATAATAAGAGTTGTATTTCATTGTGAATTGATAGTGGGTGCATCGGTAGTAAGTTGCGTGAATAGAATTCAGTGCAGTGAATATATTGTGATGCTATTTGAATGCATTGTGGTACTAATACGAGGAATATGTTCAATGGAGATCTACCTGAGTCGGGCACCTGCTGTTAGCTTGTAGGACACTATGTCCATCGTCCCAATATGTGGGACAAGTCGGACAAATCGAAGCGCCGCGTGAAGTCGCCACTATCGCACAATGTCCATCAAATTTTTTTTCGCCCAATAATTATGTCAGTCAGACCACCTATTAGACACGTTTAAACTCAAACAAATACATTTATATACCATCACGACTCCATAAATAGAAATCGTGTATCGAATACATAAAAATATAATTACTTTGACAATTTTATTGAAATAAAGAATCAAGGTAATAAGCACTATAAAATTGTACGCACATAAAATATAAATGAGTTACCATTTAAGGTAATAAATAATGTAATGGAAGTATAGTAATAGTGCGCAAACCGTAGTTAACTAAGGTTCTCATACGGAATTGTGGGACTACAGATAATTATATGGCTGTGGAATATAACTAGAGTGGTAAATAATAATATATAAATAGACTTTAACATGGAATTGCGTTCAAGAGGACAAGTCCTGTTCGATTGCATCATAGAGAAATTACTAATAGAAAGTTTTCTTTTGAATTTCGAATAAAAAAAAGATAAATGAACACCTCGTGTGCCAGTATTCTTATTTTTATCGATATCTAAGAAGTATTTATTCAATTTCAAGGTCGTTGAAAAAGGCGGACATGATGTCACTTAGAAATGATTGAAGCACCAAAATGTCAGTGGTGTATTTATGTGTGTGTGTGTAATAGATCCACGTTACTAGACTTAAGAAAATGACAGATGTCCTTCGTGTCAATGTGTGTATGTTGAGCGTGTAAGTCTATAGTAGCCAGGTGCCAGTCGTTGATTCAAGAACGCCATTGAAATTATTGTATTATTTTTATATTATGTTCCATTTTTAGGATTAATTATATGGTGAATCTGTCACAAAAAAACGATCTAGATTTTGAAATAATATCGGTTATTAATTTCGAAGGCTAATATTACTACGACATTTAATTATTATTTTGTGTGGCTTATTGCGTGGTAATATCCTGATTCCCACCAACTTTTATTTTACAAGCCCCAGTAACAGCAGCTGACTGATAATATTTACAATAGAATGCTAGAGGCATTATAAAACTGTCGTTACCTTCCCAAAGATAAAGCAAAAAGGTTTTAATATTGTCTTTGCCATTGGCAGCTTACTATTCAAATTTCGAATAAAGAACAATATGGCGTCCACAACGGGAATAGGGATTAACTCCTTGTTAAATACCTAAATATTATTAGCCGGAACTTGAAGACAATAACACCAAAGAGTATAATAAGTATAGGGGATAATAACACCTTCTGTCTTTACCTACACCAAAGGGACATGCAACGATTCCCATGTAGCCTTACCTATTTTGTCACACGGTTGTGTAACTTAAGAATTTCAAAAATTTTTGGATCAGTAAGACTCAATCATACGTTGCAATTATTTAGTATAATAAGGAATAGAGGTTCGTTGCTCAAAAAGGCAGCCATAACCGAACTTAATTACGTATAAAAATAATACACACATAAAACAAATAACAAAGAAAATAGTAACATAACAAGCTTATCTTGATTGTTATCTTTATATGAAGTAATATGAATACGATTTGATTACATTACCAAATTCGTGGTATCTAAGTGACGTCATGGTATAAACCTGTCCAGCTCGTCACGTTACAGGTTAAATTATCAACGTTTGATTTATTTGCTAGTTGTAAATTTGTAATTGTAGTGGAGATATCGAAAACAATGATGAGACTGTTGAAACAGATTAGAGGAGTTAGAAGGAATATGTCCAGCGGTAGACGAAAAAGGTCTGATGTGAATGATGAATAAACTTCAAGATGTGATGACATCTGATAGAGGTGATAGAAAGAAACAAATACGTCAACCAAAAGCAAGTCAGGAATACGGACAGACAGAAGAAACGATTTTATGATTGAGAGAAGGTATAGACAGTTTTCGCAGTAAGTGATAATAATAATAAGAAAAAATGTCAGTCTGTAGGTCAGTCCTCTAGTGAAGCTATTTGTAATCTGTAACGGTTTACTCAAAGCAATACAGATAGATAGCCTCAAATACTAAACCTAATACATTTATAAAAGTGCTTAGAAAGAATAGTCATACGCTATTTTGATAAGCAAACAGTTTGTAAGTAACAAAATATCTTTTCCTTTTAAAACCCGAGCTCGCAAGTCAGCAAAGGTGTCAGTTGCAAGTTGTAATACAATTCTTGTAATTGTACGAGTCTTAACGACGGTTAATATGGCGTATCGTGACGTGATATCGTCGGAATAGACGTCTCATGTGCATCCGTAATGTGTTAGGACCGATTTACGTGTGTACTGTCTACCGCGTGTTGCCCAATCAACGAGTTTATGACGTGATCATTGTCCAATCAAATCCGCTTTTGGATGAGGCGGGAAAGTTGACAGTTCTAGATTCGAAGTTTAGATTTTTAAATGTGATTGACTGGCTTTTAATGCGTATTAAAAAGTAGTTCCAATAACAAACTTAGTTTTCGCTGTAAGGCGTAAGAACCAAAAGTAACTCTTGGCGTAAAAGTAATAAAGTTGAATGTCACTCACCTCACTTTCAGTCCAATCGATTAGACTGGACTTTTCTTCCAGTAAGTTCTCGGAACTTCGCTTCTCGTCTTCTCCGTCGCCCTCGTCTTTGAAAACCTTGACCTCATCAGTGGAGCCCAGGTCGTCGCCGCCCGAGCTCGCCGCCGAACTCGAATGAGCATGCGGCATCTTCACGAACCCAACGCCCCAACTTCCATTATCCCATCCTCTGACACCTACAACCTATCCACTATCTGTCATCCATGACCACTCACTGTACCGCCATTTTGTTTGTTCCAAATTCAAACTTCACGGTCCTTCGCACCGGATTTTGACATTTGTTTGTTCAGTCTATGGGTAATGTTTTTTTTTCTGCACTTAATTCGTAACTAATTTAGGCGATTGTTTGTTTTTTTTTTTACTAAACTAAAATGAGATCACAGATAACTTTTGTCAGGTTAAACTTAAAATGCCTAAGGTTGAGGTGTTCCGTTATATTTTGTGTTGGGTTGCATCTGTAAAGAAGAAAAGGGTTCATTAGTGACATTTGAATAGACGAAGCATGGTGTAGGGTTTGTAATCAAGGTCTAGGTTGAATTATGATGCCATACAATTTAAAAGCAGTAAGCTGCTAATTACTGGTACATTTGAGTTTATACAAACATACGTGTTTCTGTGTGGGTTGTCTTAATACTAAATGCTTAAGGTTGATATTGGTGTTGGCAAAATAAGCGATAGGTTGGCAACAATTGTGGCTGTATCGTCGTGTGACACATCTTTTAGGTCAAGCTCCTTGTCAAGTGGACGTCAAGAAGCACTCTTGGCTTGGAGCCAAGTGACGCTAAGAAAACTCTTCGGGAAATATTGAGTAAGGAACAATTCACGTAAATATGTATATTTTGTTATATTTTATCATGTCCAGGTAACACTAAAATGCGAACAAAGGCGTGAGGAAGTTTTTAAACAGAAAATGGCTTCTTATTCTTTAATCTTTGACAATGTAAAGTTTAAGGCTAGCCCTATTGTTAATCTGGATTTACGGATACTATTGGGAACTGCCGAAAAAAAAACCAATAATAATTACTTTGCTAACTACAGCTGGTTAGACACAGCAGAAAATAGCTTCAGTCCACGATATAAGTATCAAAATCGCATAAATATTGGTTTGTATTGAATAAAAACCTTCAGATCGTCCGAAGTCGATCGTTATTTACACGATCTTTTGAACTTTGAGGTTATCTCTAACGTGACTCTAACGTGGGTATCAGGCTTAGATCGTTGTAAAAATAGCAACTATTGTCTACTTCAAATGTGCAGATTCCATGGGGATTAACCGTGGTGATTATTGAGAATTTATTAAAGGCCAGCTATTGTTGGTCTCTCATTTCGTGCTTAGAAATGTTTGGATATTGGCAAAATTGTTTTTAAACTACGTTTGTTATTGTTTGGTGTACTAGAGGTATACTACTTTTTTGATGTATTCTGGACTAGCTAAAAGCAAATTTGGAAATCACCAAAAGAAAAGATATTTTTTTCAATACAGAAGTATTCATAGACAGAAAACATTCTAAATCAAAGACCAAAATCCGTACGATTCGCAAACAACCACTCTCGCGCAAATTTTAATCGAAAATCTTACCAACCAGGATGCAGTAATGACAATGCGCTTGCGTTCCTATGCGGTCGCATTTGTCAGGTATGTATAATGTAAGGTGTGAAGCGTTATGAATAATGGCGGCGGACACGCCTCGGTTGAGCTATGCATGACAATATACGGATAGGGTTACAAACCAAATAGAAAGAATATGTATAATATGACAACTACTACATATTTGCTTAGCTGTTAAAGGTAGGAGATCTTTTTGATCGTGGTGCTTGTGGCGCTAGTGGCGTATTAGATCATATGCATCTTAGTTGTCAAACTTTGACTAGCCAATATTTTGACACGGAACTGAATTTTTAGTCTTTAGAGGACAGATTCTAATTGGGGAGGATAGATGGTGCTGATGATGAAAAAGAAATAGTTAAAATGAAGATTTACAAACTATAAGACCCCAAAACAAAATCAGGCTGTTAGTTGCATAAAGGTATTTAACTACAAGTTGATGATGTCGCGAGGGATCTTCCACGGTAATCAAAATTTCTCAGACTTTCACTTTTTCAAACTCGTTTTCAGAATTTTGTGCACTTTTGAGTAGCATAAGTATGTATATTGATGATGACCAGATGACCAGTATTATGCAGATTCTATCATCAGATGAAATGATAATTATACTGAATTGTTAATTTCAACGGTTCATTCAAGTTTTCGTACAGTAACGATCTCCACTTCTAGATTTTCTCTTTAAAAACAAAATCAAAGTCCGATTCTTACGTAATTATCCGAAAATTGGTCTCATTATACGGTTGATTAATTTTACACGCGAAAAAAACTAAGATAAGATGCGTGTTGAGAAAAGTTTAATGACCTCGAGGTCATAGCAGTTTTTATCTATTTCATAAATCTGTTTTAATTACTTTATTTTATACCTAGAATAACTTGAATTTGTTTTTAGTACTTATTTGCGAATAAATAACAACGAATTTTCTAGCTAAAACGAGTGGAATAGAGTATAGAAGAGAAGAGATTTCTATACTAACTGAATCTCTAGATAATCTTTGACTTACTACCTATTAGATATTTATCGGTATTTTCTTTTCTTAGGAGATAGTACTATACAGGCAAATGAGTAGATGTATCGCCTGATGGTAATGTATTAGCATATTTGATGCACAAATGATAATTTTTTTTTTAGGGGCGAAAATCATCGAATGACTTCTCCCGCCTGGGTGAGGCGGGAGGGAGTGTCAGATTCTTACTGACTAAAAACCACCCCGTTTCTACTCCTGCACTACGAGCCGGAGCCCCGGTAACCCGTTAAGTTCTCCGCGGCACAAATGATACAATAGAGGTGTAAAAAAGGAGATAACTAACTAACGAGAGAGGAAAAATTGGCCTGGAGTTTGTTTCAAAATAATTCACCTTTAAAATAGGTTCAGGATTGGAACAGAACAAATTATATGTAGTTTTAAAATATCATTAGTATAGACGTGCTGGATCACGTATAAAGTTACATCAGTAGGAACATAACTTGGAAATAATATCACATTGTTTATTTATATTTTATCAGCAAGTACCTGAACCCATTTTTTTATCACTCCACATGACATTCGCACAGATAGTGCCTGTTTGTTTTATCAGATCATATTTTCGAAACTTAGTACTTTTATATCTCGTATTATTTCATGAAGATTGGTATGCCATCAGATCTGAATGGACAGATCTTGGACCAGAATATATACCACACTCTGGAATTGGCAATTTTATGACTAAAGATGATAAATGGCAGTCAATCAAGAACGTATATGAGTCAAATCTGGTGCTAATCAGTACTTCTTCACATTTTCCTATTCTCTTCATGTGGCAAACGAGTTTACCTCTTTTCTGATAAAGGCAGTTAGTCAGTTCCAGTGAGCCTATACAGATCTGTAACATAATTGCTAGCCTAAGTGGAAAAAACAACAGAAGTTGACGTAGACTCCACAAGAACAGCATTATCAAAGTAAGTCGGTCATGTAGCGCCAATATTGGTTCAGAAGACATAGTGAGCTGATGCTACCATCCAAATATGAGCTCATCCACCACGACAGACTCCAAAATAAGCGTACTCTGTACTTAATGGCCGATATCATTTTATATTCCACAATTAGCCACACATGAGTGTGGAAGATAAAAATAAACAGTTAAATATGAGCCATCTCCGTGAGACTAAGATGAATTGCGCTTTAAAAATAATACTGACAGATTTCTGTTCGCAGATTCCCTTGAAAGTCGGTTTTGTAATCTGTTGGCCGGATTTTGTCGAGTAGTTCGGCCGAATGAGTATGTGTTACTACGGTTTCTGTCGTCAAATTATAGTATTACTAGCTTTTACCCGCGGCTTCGCTCGCGTCACAAAAGGATAAAAAGTAGCCTATGTGACATATACCAATACACACAGCGCCACCTATACCAATACTTTTGTTTTCCCTCGGGAATATCATTTTCCGGGATAAAAAATACCCTATTATTTAATCTGGACTTCTAACTTTACGTCTGCAAAAATTCAAAGCAATCGGTTCAGTAGTTACGGCGTGAAAGTGGAACAAACAAACAAACAAACTCACTTTCCGATTTATAATATTATTATAGTAAGGATTCGTATGGTAACTACTATACCGGTTTAATTATCAGATTTCTATTTCTCACAAGAATTACGTCAAAGTAATATTTTTATATCAGTGGAGACACTAAAACCTATCTAAGGCATGTGAAAACTTCTTAATGAACTTGAATAAGTAATATAGAAAATAAGGACTAGATTTTCATATTCATCTAGATCATCTGCTTTCTAGATTTTTCCAAGCAACTTGGGAGTGTCAGCCAAAAATCTACATTTTCTATTCTCCACTATCAGATGTCATCCTATCACGAATTCCTATAAATATATAGCTTTTTGGAACAGAGCACGAAGGTAAAATCTTGGAGAGAAGGTTCTTCGTACTTTCCAAGCTAGATTTCTAGTCAAATCTATTCAGTGCATCGCAGGATTCTAGATCAAATACGTAAACCCTACTTATCATTCAATTCAATTCAAATATACTGTATTTTATCGAGGAATTTAAATTTTACTATACTTTACAAATACTAGAGTAGGAATGTCTTGCTGGTAGTGTGGTCTCAACTGCGACTACCGGGCTAGAGGTCTTGGGTATAGGGGTCGAGCAGAGAATGTTCGAGGGTTTTTGAAAATATCTTAGTTTTTATAATAACTATCGTGAGACACACTAAATTAACTAAAAATCGCGGGTTACTCACGTGAATATACTGAGAAAAGCTCTACTAGTTTCTAACCACATAGGGGTTCTTCCTCCTTCCTCTGTGGTTGGAAACTAGTAGAGCTTTTCTCAGTATATTCACGTGAGTAACCCGCGATTTTTAGTTAATTTCTTAGTTGTTATTAGCACCAGGAAGTTATTTTTATGTGATCTCGCATTGTTATCTACATATGTGTCGTGGCGTTATAAAGGGTTCTTCGTTCTTTGATCTTTCTATTTCTTTCTTTCTTTCTTTCGTCGACTGAGTCTGTACTCCGTTCTGTAAATGTGCCCAGAGTATAGCAATAGACTCACTGTTCAAATAGATGATTTTATTTTGATTATGTGCCTTTTTAATCCAACTGAAATACCCCATTTGACTTTGATGACGATTTGGTGTGATGATAGCAACGGTCACCCATCTACAAAATAACCGCGGTAAGCAGTCAAGGAATCTCAGTACATTAATGAGATGAAAAACACAGTATTTTATCTCAGAAACCACTTCAAAAGATTTTTTGGACATTTTAAATGTTTTTTAAAACGCTAATTATGATAAGTTATCGGTGTGTCTTGGCAACTCGATTAATTAATTAGTTCTTTGATTAAAGTAAACAAA